TATCAGAAATGTCTGATAACATTCTTTTTTACCCTTTACGGTGGCTAATTTACGTTTTCAACTGAGTTGTTACCACTAAATTACCTGTTTTTCTAAACTAACGGATTTCCAAAACGACGATTTTTTTTATTCGCTTTTGAAGAACGGGAATTGCTTTGGTTTCCCCTTTAAGAATAAAACTTTACTCGTTCTTTTATAGGGTGTGTTAGTGGAATTAGAAACACTCGCCTTTTAGGTTCCCTTGGTTCTTCGTACTGATTTATTTTGTTTTAATAAGCTGCCTAGTAGGCGTTCGACATTAACACATGAAACGCGCGCGAAAGGGAGCGTTTACGTGGATGAAAGAGAGAACTCTTTTGTCTTACGTGCGTCTTAATCCAAAATACTTGCATACTATTTTGCTTTATGGACTTTAATGACTACTTTCGTTTCCGTTTCAAGACATTCGATCCAGAAATCGAGGATAAAAACATCTGTCCAAACAAACTCAAGTATTGGGGTCGAACGAAACGATAAATATAGTGTCTTTAGGGACGTTCACGTCAAAAGTTCATGAAACAGAATGTTTTTTGAAGATGAAATATTGAAAGATCGTATTTTGAAGCGTTTCATTTTCGATTGAAATCGTTATCCAATGCTTCATTTCATTTTCGACACTAGGTAAATACATAACAAAGGGGTTTGAATTAAAATTTCCTGATTTGCAATTATGTTTGTGTTTATCTGTTTCGATTTCACACTCGGCCCACACTCCGGCTAAGGTGACGACCAAACAAAGAGACCGATATGGATGTATTTGTTGCAGCTGTTTAAAAATATTTAAAGGAATACAAATCTCATCGATACCTACGAAGCACTTTGATAAAAACATCAGGCAGCTGATCCTTCCACAGACTTTCCATTGACTTACAGGTGTTCACACTTCACGGCCGTCTGAAACTTTCTTTCTTCGACGTTTGCCTTCTCATTTTAGATACTATCGTCTCACTTCGTTACTGATTTAATTTTCACCACAGATGAAATCATGGATAACCTGCAACAACTTCAAAATCATGTTACAGCTGAAAACTTCAGCAATACAATCGCGAGGGAAGGAAGGGGTAGTTGAGGCGGGGTTAGGGGAAGGAGGGAGGAGGAGGTAGATGGTCAGAGACAAGCAAGAGCTGGTTAGATTGTAAATACGTTTACTTTCGTTAATTTTTTTTCAATACTTAGGAGGCAAACCTGTGTTCTTTTATTTACTTTAGTTTACTTGATCTCTAGGTCGATGGACTTTAGGTCGATTCACCTGCGACCTCTATTTATTCCTGAACTTTATTCTGTGCAGCGCC